CTTGTTGATAGATGTGTATTTGTTGTTCATACTTTGTATCTTTACCTTTTTCTTCTTCTTCCTCTTCTTAAAGGATACCTTTCAGCATTTCATATAATACTGGTTTGGTGGTGATGAACTCCTTTAGCTTTTCCTTATCTGTGAAGCTCTTTACCTGACCTTCAATTCTGAATGATAGCTTTGCTGGATAAAGTAATCTTGGTTGTAGGTTCTTGGTATTCATCACTTTGAATATTTCTTGCCACTCCCTTCTGGCCTTCAAAGTTTCTGTTGAGAAATCAGCTGACAGTCATATGGTTATTCCCTTGTAGGTAACTGTGTTTCTTTCTCTTGCTGCTTTTAAGATTCTCTCTTTGTCTTTTGCTCTTGGCATTTTAATTATGATGTGTCTTGGTGTGGTCCTCTTTGGATTTCTTTTGTTTGGGGTTCTCTGTGCTTCCTGGACCTGTAAGTCTATTTCTTTCACCAGGTAGGGGAAGTTTTCTGTCATTATTTCTTCAAATAGGTTTTCAATATCTTGCTCTCTCTCATCTTCTGGCCCCCCTATAATTCTGATGTTGGTACGCTTGAAGCTGTCCCAGAGGCTCCTTACACTATCTTCGTATTTTCGGATTCTTTTTTCATTTTGCTTTTCCGGTTGGGTGTTTTTTGCTTCTTCACATTTCCATTCTTTGACTTGATTCTTGCGCTCCTCTGGTCTGCTTTTGGGAGTCTGTATAATATTCTTTATTTCAGTCAGTGTATGCTTAATTTCTAGTTGGTTCTTTATCACAACATCGAGGGTCTCATTAGATTTCTTGAGGATCTCATTAAGTTTATCAGCGGCTTCTAGACAGTTCTTGAGAGACCTTAAAATTGTGGTTTTGAGCTCTATATCCTCCATTTCTGTCATTTCTGTCCTGTTTCTTTGTCTCGGCATTTTTTATGCTTTCTTGGTGCACCCCTGAGTGGTCTTTGTGCACAGTCTTGTTGTAGTTAAGCCTTGATTGTTGTGGGTAATACCAGGGGTGATTTGACCTCCAGGCCAACTGGCTGTGAGAATCAGCTGTGTCTGCAGTGAGAGAACTTCTGTCCTCTGGGGATGTGCTAATCTAGCCTTTGCCTGAGGCTATCTGGCAAAATACTCTGTGCAGGGCTTGGGCGGGGCGGGTGGCACGGGATCAACATGGCGGGCAGAGCGAGCAGTCATGGCTGCTCTCAGTCCCGTCGCCAGAGGCTCTGCCTCTCAGAGTCCCAGCAACCGCTGCAAACCTCGGAGAGAAAGCTGCCTTCGAGTTCCGACCGAAGCCAGACTGTCCCGCTTCTCCCGTTTGAGTCTGGGTCCCTAGAGACTCGCCCAGAACTGGAGCTCAGAGCCTGAGACTCCCTCCCGATTGAAACAGACAACCGCGCCCTCAGCCGCCAGCCTGCTCCACACTCACCTCTGCACCTTTGTATTTTCTACACTGCGCCTCCTCTGAGTCTCAGTATGCTTTTCTCTTTCCTTCTAGTTGAAGAATTTCCCCTCAGCCAGCCTTCCTGTGGTTCCAAGTGATGTCCGTTCCGCCTTTTAGTTGTATTTTTGAAGTGGTTGTGCGAGGCAGCAATCTCCGGTGTTTACCTATGCTGCCATCTTGGTTCCAATCTATCCAGTACTTCACATTTTTATTTTTTATCTTTTACTTAAGAAACTAAATTTTTTTCTCTCATTTGATTTTATCTTGTTTATTACTATATTTTTATTTTTAACTATTATTATCACATAATCATATCAATCAATACAGAAAAAGCATTTGTCAAAATCCAACACCTTTTCTTGATAAAAACTCTCAGAAAAGTGGGAATAGAGGGATCATACCTCAACATAATAAAAGCCTTATATGACAAACCTACAGCCAACATCATACTCAATGGGAAAAAATTAAACTCATTTTTCCTAAGAACAGGAACAAGACAGGGATGCCTACTTTCACCACTCCTGTTCAATATAGTACTGGAAGTGCTAGACATAGCAATCAGACAAGAAGAAATAAAAGGCATCCAAATTGGAAATGACGAAGTAAAACTGTCTTTATTTGCAGATGACATGATACTATACATAGAAAACCCCAAAGACTCCATCAACAAACTACTAGACCTAATAAATGAATTTGGCAATGTAGCAGGACACAAAATTAACACCCAGAAATCTATGGCCTTTTTATACACCAATAATGAACTCACAGAAAGAGAAGCGAAAAAAACAATCCCATTTACCATTGCACCAAAAAAATTAAGATACCTAGGAATAAACTCAACTAAGGACATAAAAGAACTGTACTTGGAAAACTACATTACAGTGTAAAAAGAGAGAGAAGACGTAAACAAATGGAAGAACATACCATGTTCATGGGTTGGTAGAATCAACATGATTAAAATGTCCATACTACCCAAAGCAATCTACAGATTCAATGCATTCCCAATTAAAATACCAATGGCAAATTTCAAACATCTAGAACAAACTATCTGAAAATTCATCTGGAATAAAAGCACACCCTGAATAGCCACAACAATCCTGAGAAAGAAGAACAAAGTTGAAGGGATCACAATACCAGATATCAAGCTATATTAGCAAGCCACAGTTCTGAAAACTGCCTGGTACTGGCACAAGAACAAACATATATTCCAATGGAACAGAGCAGAGAACCCAGAAATCCACCCCAGCCATTATGCTCAATTAATATTTGACAAAGGAGGAAAGAGCATACAATGGAGTCAAGACAATCTCTTCAATAAATTGGACTGGGAAATTTGGTCAGATACATGCAAAAAATAAAACTGGATCACCAACTTACACCATACACAAAAACAAATACAAAATGAATAAAGGACTTAAAAGTAATATGAGAAACCATAAAAATCCTTCAAGACTCCATAGGCAGCAAAATAGCAAACATATGTCTTAGCAATATCTTTACCAACAGAGCTTCTAGGGCAATGGAGACTAAGTAGAAAATAAAAAAATGGGACTACATCAAAATAAAAAGCTTCTTCACAGCAAAAGAAACCATCAACAAAACCACAAGATTCATCTTGCTTTGGACTCTCTGTACTCATGTAACTTTTTTCTTCCCTATATCTGGGAAGTTTTCTGTCATTATTTCTTCAAATAGATTTTCTAACCTTTGCTGCTCTTCTTGTTTTTCTGATAGCCCTATTATGTGTATGTTACTTCATTTCGTGTTGTCCAGAAGCTCCCTTAGGCTCTCCTCCTGCTTTTTAATTTTTTTCTCCAGTTGCTGTTCAGATTGAGCTTGTTTCTCTACCTTATCTTCTAACTCACTAATTCTGTCCTCTGCTTCTTCTAGTCTACTGTTGAAACCTTCCATGGTGTTTTTGATTGTAGCTATGTCACTTTTGATTTCTTCCTGATTTTTGCATAGGTTTTTGGTTTTCTCACAAACCGGTGCATGAACTGTGTGACCATTACTCTAAATTTTTTCTGTCATGTTGCATGCTTCCATTTCACTTATTTCCGTTCTTGACGACTCCTCATTTTCTTTCCTCTGGGGATTGTGTCATCTCCCCATTCTGAATTAGGAATTCTTACCATTTGCAACAGCATGGATGGATATGGAGAGCATTATGCTAAGTAAAATAAGCCAGCCAGTGAAAGATAAATACCACATGATCTCACTCATTTATGGATAATAAAGAACATTACACATGGTTGAACAAAAATAGACAGAGTCTTTAAGGAAAAACAAAACCAGTGTCTGTGAATTTTGCTTAAGATTACAATTTTAGAATACCTTTCAAATAGCTTATGAGAAGCACTTAAAGAAAGGCTTTTTTGGAAAAATCAACTTAATTGGATGTTTATTCCTTATGCATTATGGATTTTGAAAAGCTTTATTTAATGATTTTTAAACATTGTTATTCAGAGCTGGGCCTGTAAAAAGAGTTTGTCCACAGTTGACAATGTGTACTCATCTGTCAAGTAATTAATGGGGACACTACACTATTTAAGGGTTTCTGACCAGCCCATTCATTTACAGAAAAATTAAAGGCTGTTTGTAAGTTGATTCCCTCCTGAGGAAAAAAAATCTGGTGCTGCAAGATCCTGGGTTCTCATATTATGGTTTTAATGAAGCAGAAATACACAGTATATCCTAACCAGGAGGAGAACCTGATGTTGCTATGGAAGTGTGATTATGCCAGATAACTACCATGTTATGTCCTACAGCCCCTCTGAATTAAGTACCAAAGAACAGGGGTAGAAAATAAGAATTCAAGTGAGAAAAACAGAGAGTCAAGGTCTCAAAATTTCTCTCTTCTTGGAGAATGGCAAAGGAGAACTTGGTATGGGAACCAGTTTTTCTAGGTGAAGTTTCTTACTAATTTCTTCTACTTATGTAAGAACAGAAAATAAAATAAAGGAAGAGAGAGAGAGAGAGAGAGAGAGAGAGAGAGAGAGAGAGAGAGAAAGAAAGGGAGAAAAAGAAAGAAAGAAAGAAAGAAAGAAAGAAAGAAAGAAAGAAAGAAAGGTAACTTGCACACAGCTGTCACAGCAACAGCAATACTTTTTGAACTATTGATGTCAAGAGGAAAGAAATCAGTTTTCACTTGTGTTGCCCCCAGTGCTGCCCAGACAACTTTTTGGAGGGTCAGGGGCCTTTCTTTTTACCAAGTAGAGCTTCTTCCATCCAGGATGGTTTTACAGGGGCTACTTTGTAGGAGAACTCAGCACTTTTATATCTTAGGTACTGTCTATCCTGGATCCCCTGTAGATCCCTCTTATTCTGAGTCCCTTGTAGGCACAAGTGAGAGGCCTGTATTTGGAAAAGCTCTGCTGTTGGACATTATATCCTAAAGTGGATGCCACAGGGTAGAACTGTGCAGTGTGCACTATTACCACTGCCATCTGCTTATAAGACAGACACTGTGAACATCTAAGCCTGGATGAGTGTGATGGAGTTGTCTTGACAATCAAGCCATCTATCCCAGCCCCCCTCCCTTCACCCACACAGCCCCAACTCTACCTTATTGAAAGACAGCTGCTCACTGCCCCCTCTAGGGTGGGTGTAGTGGTCGTTGGATCTGTGCATATTTTCATAAAGGTCTTCCTCACTTCCTGTGTTGTCAGCATGGATGACCATGTTCAGAGCTTCATCAAGGATGGCTGGAAGGAGAGAGGCCAGTTGGCAAAGTGGAGCAGAGGGAAGGGGACATGCAGAAAATAACACAAAACTTTTCAGGATAAACGCTCCTTCTTTGAGAGGAGGGAGAAGATCTGAAACTAGTTTCTCAAACCATTCTTGCTACAAAAACATGGTCTGGTTGAAAGAGTTCCCTGGTCAACTTTCACACCATCACTTTAATCATCTACTATTCGGTACCCACCAACTCTGTAAAGAAGGAAACCCAAATATCTGCCATATCATGACACTCAGAGTCCCCACCAGTTGAATCTAGTTCAAAACCATTTACCAGTGTGTCAAGTATAGTATAAGGCCCTTAAAAATACTAACAATTTATTATGAAAAAGATATTATGAAATATAGTTATATAATATAGCCAAAGAAATATACATTATATAAATGCATTTATAGTTGGCAATCTATAATAATAAAAGTGTAATATGCTAATTAGACTGGACAGCCAAAAGACCTTCTAGACGTCCAAAAGGATGTCCTTCCAGACAGCCAGGGCTGTGAGGGCCGAGCCCCTTGCACGAATTTCGTGCATCGGCCTCTAGTTAATAATATAAACACCCATGGTACTTATAATCCTGCATAAGAGAAATACCAGAAGCTTAGAATTCAACCTTCTGTATACCCTACTGCAATCCTTTTCCCTTCTATCTCTTTTAGATAAATGTCCAATATCCCCAACTTTTTATAAATCACACATTTCTCTTTGTTTAATCATTTATTTCTGTTAAATTTTGCATGGTTTGATCTTATATAAATAGCTTTTGTTCTCTGACTGGATTTTTTTTATTCAACTGCTCATGTAGTTGTGATTGACTCATTCTCTCTGATGCAGTCTTGCATTTTATGAATATTTCAAATTTTACATATCCATTGTACTTCTGGAGAACAGTGGGTTGTTTCCTGTATTGTGGCTGGTATAAACAATACCAGATTATGCATACATCTCAGAGTTTCTCTGAGACAATGTTTTTTTTCTCTTTTTTTTAATCTTTAATTTCTTTATTGGTTAAGGCATTACAAATGTGTCCTCATCCCCCCCATTAACCCCTAACCACCCCCCTACTCATGCTCTCATCCCCCTGTTGTCCATGTCCATTGGTTTGGCTTATATATATGTATGCATACAAGTCCTTTGGTTGATCTCTCCCCCTTACCCTCACTCTCCCCTACTTTCCCTCTGGGGATTGATAGTCTGATTGCTGCTTCTCTGTTTCTGGATCTGTCCCTGCTCATCAGTCTATGTTGTTCTCTATATTCCACAAATGACTGAGATCATGTGTTATTTATCTTTCTCTGACTGGCTTATTTCACTTAGCATAATGCTCTCCAGTTCCATCCACGCTGTTGCAAATGGAAAGAATTCCTTCTTTTTTACCCCAGTGTAGTATTCCATTGTGTAGATATACCACATTTTTTTATTCCACTCATCTGCTGATAGGCACCTAGGCTGTTTCCAAATCTTAGCTATGGTGAATTGTGCTGCTATGAACATAGGGATGCATATATCCTTTCTTATTGGTGTTTCTAGCTTCTTGGGATATATCCCTAGAAGTGGGATCACTGGGTCAAATGGGAGTTACATTTTTAGTTTTTTGAGGAAACTCCATACTGTTCTCCACATTGGCTGTACCAGACTGCATTCCCACCAGCAGTACAAAAGGGTTGCTTTATCTCTACATCCTCTTCAACAGTTGTTTGTTGATTTGTTGATGATAGCCATTCTGACAGGAGTGAGATGATACTGCATTGTCGTTTTGATTTGCATTTCTCGGATGATTAGTGACTTTGAGCATGTTTTCATATGTCTTTCGGCCTTCTGTATGTCCTCTTTTGAAAAGTGTCTATTTAGGTCCTTTGCCCATTTTTTGATTGCATTGTTTATCTTCCTTCTGTTAAGTTGTATGAGTTCCCTGTAAATGTTGGAGATTAAACCATTATCGGGGATAACATTAGCAAATATGTTCTCCCATGCAGTGGGCTTTCTTGTTCTTTTGTTGATGGCTTCCTTTGCTGTGCAAAAGCTTTTTATTTTGATGTAGTCCCATTTGTTTATTTTCTCTTTAGTTTCCATTGCCCTAGGAGCAGTATCAGTGAAGAAATTCCTTCGGCATATGTTTGCGATTTTGCTGCCTGTGTATTCCTCTAGTATTTTTACGGTTTCCCATCTTACATTTAAGTCCTTTATCCATTTTGAGTTTGTTCTTGTGTATGGTGTAAGTTGGTGGTCTAGTTTCATCTTTTTGCATGTATCTGTCCAATTTTCCCAACACCATTTATTGAAGAGACTGTCTTGACTCCATTGTATGCTCTTGCCTCCTTTGTCGAATATTAATTGGGCATAGTGGTTTGGGTCAATTTCTGGGTTCTCTATTCTATTCCATTGATCTATAGATATCTAGGCATTAATTTCGTATCCTGCTATATTGCCAAATTCATTTATTAAGTCTAATAATTTTTTGATGGAGTCTTTAGGGGTTTCTATGTACAGTATCATGTCATCTGCAATTAAGAGAGTTTTACTTCTTCTTTACCAACTTGGATGCCTTTTATTTCTTCTTCTTGTCTGATTGCAATGGCTAGTACTTCCAGTACTATGTAGAGCAGGAGTGGTGAGAGTGGGCATCCCTCTCTTGCTCCTGTTCTTAGGGGAAATGGTTTTAGTTTTTGCCCATTGAGTATGATGTTGGCTGTGGGCTTTTCATATATGGCTTTTATTATATTGAGGTATGATCCTTCTATTCCTACCTTGCTGAGAGTTTTTATCAAGAAAGGGTATTGGATTTTGTCAAATGCTTTTTCTGCATCAATTGATATGACTATGTGATTTTTATCTCTCGATTTGTTTATGTAGTGTATCACGTTTATTGATTTGCGGATATTGTACCATCCTTGCATCCATGGGATAAATCCTACTTGGTCATGGTGTATTATCTTTCTGATGTATTGCTTGATCCGATTTGCTAGAATTTTGTTGATTATTTTGGCATCTATGTTCATGAGGGATATTGGTCTGTAATTCTCTTTTGTTGTGTAGTCTTTTTCTGGTTTTGGCATTAGGGTGATGCTGGCTTCATAGAATGAGCTTGGAAGTGTTCCTTCCTCTTGAATTTTTTGGAATAGTCTGAGGAGGATAGGTTTTAGTTCTTCCTTGAATGTTTGGTAAAACTCCCCTGTGAAGCCGTCTAGCCCTGGGCTTTTGTTTGCTGGGAGCTTTTTGATGACTGCTTCATTTTCTTCTAGAGTTATTGGCCTGTTGAGATTTTTAGAATCTTTCTGATTGAGTTTTGGAAGGTTGTATTTTTCCAGGAATATGTCCATTTCCTCTAGGTTGTCTAGTTTGTTGGAGTAGAGTTGTTCATAGTATTTTTTAACATTCCTTTAAATTTCTGTGGCGTCTGTTGTTATTTCACCTTTTCATTTCTGATTTTGTTTCTTTGGGTCCTCTCTCTTTGCTTCTTGGTGAGCCTGGCTAGAGGCTCATCAATCTTTATCCTTTCAAAGAACCAGCTCTTGGTTTCATTGATCTTTTGGATTGTTTTTTTGGTCTCTATGTCATTTATTTCTACTCTGATCTCTATTATCTCCTTTCTTCTGCTCACCCTTGGCTTTTCTTGTTTCTCTCTTTCTAATTCTTTGAGTTGTAGAGTTAGATGATTTACCATCATTTTGTTTTGTTTTCTTTTTTGAGGTAGGTCTGTAGAGCTATAAACTTCCCTCTCAGGACTGCTTTTATTGTGTCCCATAGATTTTGGATTGTTTTGCTGTTATTGTCATTAGTTTCCAGAGTGTTTTTAATGTCTTCTTTGATCTCATTGGTAACCCAATCATTATTTAGTAGCATGCTATTCAGCTTCCAAATGTTTGAGTTTTTTGGATTGTTTTTATTGTAGTTTATTTCTAATATTATGCCATTGTGGTCTGAGAAGATGCTTGGTATGATTTCAATCTTCTTGAATTTGGGGAGTCTTTGCTTGTGACCCAATATGTGGTCTATTTTTGAAAATGTCCTATGTGCACTTGAGAAGAACGTATATTCTGTGGCTTTGGGGTAAATGTTCTGAAGATGTCATTAAGTCCATCTGATCTAGTGAGTCATTTAGTATTGCTCTTTCTTTGCTGATTTTTGTCTAGAGGATTTATGCAATGATGTCAGTGGTGTGTTTAAGTCCCCTACTATGATTGTATTGTTGTCAATGTCTCCCTTGATATCTTCCAGGAGTTTTTTTTTTTTTTTTCATGTATTTGGGTGCTCCTGCATTGGGTGCATATATGTTTGTCAGGGTTTTATATCCTCTTGTTGTATTGATCCCTTTAGTATTATGCAGTGGCCTTCCTTATCTCTTATTATAGCCTTCACTTTGAGGTCTATTTTATCAGATATAAGTACTGCTACCCCAGCTTTTTTTTCATTTCCATTTGCCTGAAAGATATTTTTCCATCCCTTCACTTTCAGTCTGTGTGAGTCCCTTATTCTGAGGTGGCTCTCTTTTAGACTGCAAATATATGGGTCATGTCTTTTTATCCGTTCAGCCACTAGATGTCTTTTGATTGGAGCATTTAGTCCATTTATGTTTAAACTTATTATTGAAAGGTACTTGATTGTAGTCATTTCTATTTTGGTGCCTGTGTTCTTTCTTACCTTTATATTTCTTCTCTTTACAGCATTCCCTTTAGCATTTCTTGCATTGCTGGCTTGGTAGTGATAAACTCCCTTAGCCTTTTTTTGTTGGCAAAGCTCCTAATTTGCCCTTCAATTTTGATTGATAGTCTTGTTGGATAGAGTATTCTTGGATTCAGTCCTTTGTTATGCAACACTTTGTATACCTCCTTCCATTCCCTTCTAGCTTGATGTGTTTCTGTTGAGAAATCATTTGATAATCGGATGGGGGATCCTTTGTAGGTAACTCTCTGTCTCTCTCTTGCAGCCTTTAAGATTCTCTCTTTGTCATGAAGATTTGTCATTATA